GAACCTTATTGGATATTTAACAACCACTCTTTGAGGCCTATACTAATCTGGTCAGAGGGATTTAAAGGACAGTTTTTGCTCCTTGCCCTCCAAGGTCAACTAAATTCCAGGGGACTATGGAACATCTCTTAAAATGTCCTGTAACTGTGGTGAGTCACCTGTCCTCTTGTTCAGGGAGGCCATGAAGACCCCACCAAATAGACTTGAACCAGTGTCCAGTCTACAAAGAAGAGGGTCAACTCAGAGGAAACATTTCCTCCATGCTTCCAAATGAAGCCAGCTATGGCCAAGCAGGACCTTTGACTTATCTTCACGTAGATGGAACTGGTGAAAGAAAGGAGCCAGGAGCTCCTCCAAAGCCCATGTGACCCCTGAGGAACAGATGCTCAAATGACCTTAAGTGTAAGAGTAAACTGATTTATTTCGGCCAACTGTATGTTCTTTAACACCCAAAAGGAAAGTATAACCAAAGAGTAAAGGGATCAGTATATTTAAAAGTTCAAGGGATTACGCTTCCCAGACATTAAGCTTAAGTCCATATAAAATGTTATTTAGACAATTATTTCTCATTGATGATTTTGTTCCTAATCAGAAAGTGCTGCTCAGATGTAAGATTCAAATCTTGGTCTCCAATACTGTAGCACCCACCTGTAGCTAAGGGAGACAACCTGCTATTATTCTAAAATGATGACTACATTTGTTTTCTCCCCCTATCTAGAAGCCTTTGAGAGGGAACTGACACTGATTCTAACCTCTCTAACAGCTATCAAAATGCTTGAAAGCAAATCCTGAATCCATCACTCTTGAGTCCAGCCTTGACAGACAAAAGAACAATGAGGAGGAACTCAATAGAGGGATGCATTTGGAAGCTCTCTTCAAGAAATTCCAAAGAACTCTGATATGAAATTTGAAATTTGCCCTGTTCTGACTTTTTTTCTGGTTCCCTGTCTGGAATTTGTAATGCTAACTACTCTTGACTTTACTTCTCCTTCACATCCCCTATTCACCAGTCAAGGGCTTTCTTTTCTCCCTACAGATAAGCGTTATGCAATTTGGGAGGCTTTTAGATAGACCCACTGAAGGGGTACTCCAATTGCTTCACCCTGCGTCCTTGTTCAGCATGGAAGAAGCCAGAGCAGTCTGCGTCCAGATTCCTTATCCACAAGCTGGGTAACCTCTTCAGAGGATGGTGTGATAAGAATAGGAGGTAGGAATTGGCTAGGCAGTTAGGGTAAAAAGACCCCAAAGAGAAGTAGCCAGTTTCTTGGCTAAACGTCAAAATGTCCTTGGGCCTCTTAGCAACGTACTCCATTCCTAAGGCCAAAAATGTGGAAAGTATTTGGGAGCTCTTATCTAATCCTTAAAAGATTTTAGGGTTACCTCTTCAGAGGGGGGATGTTAGAGTAGGAAAAAGTCCCATTAAAAAAAAAAAAAAAGAAGAAAGAGTACATGAAGTTATCAGAAAAAAAGTGATGGGGAGATATGGGAGGAGTTGGAGGGGAGGGAGTGAGCATGGATTTGATCAAAATACCTTATATGCATGTATGACATTCTCAATAAATTTTTTTTAAATGTTCCATAACCTCTCCAAACAGATCTACCAACCAGGGACTAAGTATTCAAATATGTGAGCCGCTGGGGGGGCATTTCCCATTCAAACCACCATGCCTCCCTTGGAGCTGGCATGTGAGTGTTCCATATCATCTGACAGGAAGGAGATACACGCCAAGACCTTTAAGTGGGAGATGTGGGCACGTTCAATATTTTGAATGACACACCCTTGCATGTGAAGTAAAGAGGAAAGCTGAGAACAAATAACTTGTTAAAGCTTGAATGTTTCTTGACCTGCATTCATGTGTTAATAAACTAATTAATCATGAGGAATTGGTTTTAATTCGCCTGCATCCTTCCCAGGAGGGAAACCAGTGCTGGCCAGTTTCCCACAATCTCATCTTGTGTGGTGCTGAGATTTCTGTTACACACTGTCCTTTGGTCTGGCTGACCTTGGACACATCCCCTGCTGTCCTAAGTCACTGCCCACAGCCCTGTTGATAAAAGGAGGCTCATCCTCCCTCAGGGAACACTGTCTCCATTCCCAGAAGTTCCACCACCACCTTCTCTCGGTCTTTCCAGCCATGAAAATTCTCCTTCTGCTTCTTGCCGTCTTTCTGGCAACTGAACCAGTGATGTCAGGTAACGTGCTTTCCCAGGAATCTGGGGTCCTGTCCTTGGGTTTCTCCTGTTGCCTCCCCAATTAGGGGAGGCCCACAAGTCTTTTCCCACCTCACGTAGCTTTGGTGGCTCCCCAGGATCTGTCATGCTGTCCTCTCTCTCTGAATCTTTTTTGGCTAAGTGGTGAGATGAAAGATGTTTGGGGGTGTCTGGCACCTTGGGGGTAGGGATGGGATTCTGGTGGGAGAGCTAAGGGTGAAGGATTGGGTTCTGTTTTTTTTTTCTTTTTTTCTTTTTTTTTTTTTAACAAAAGAAGCTTTGGTTGGGGACTTGTCTGGAGGACATAATGGGGGAGCACCCAGGGACTGGGATGACAGAAGGAGTATTAGCATGGCTTGGGACCTGGATTTCTAGATGACCTGGTGCAAGACGGGGAGAGAGTGGGCTTTGGTGGAGCTGGTGTTGGTGCTAGGCTGGGCTCAGTGCCTGATGGTGCAGGGTGCTTTAATTCAGCTTGGCCATGGGCAGCTGCTGGGCAATGGGGTTGGTGACTTGATTAGATTTGGGGTTGATTTAGAGTGAGGCCTCAGGGGAGCTTTGAGCTAGGCAAGGCTGGGTGTTGACCAGTCTTGAGTTTGAACTGGGTAAATATGAGGCCCAGGGGGATTAGGCGTTGGGCTGTGATTGGAGTTGAGGCTTGCTGAACTTCTGTCCCAAGGCCACGCTGTTGATAAGGAGCTGAGTCTGTTGTAAAGTGATGGAACCTCCTCTGTGCCCTAGTGGCAGATGGACATGCCTCTTTTTCAACAGTCTCGGACTCTACTAGGCGGGATCCTAATTCATACACATTGATTATGGAGTAAGGAGTGGGGAGTCGGGGACAGAAAGATAGAAAAGAGAGATTCTGAAAAGAACTTTCCTGAAAAACTTCACAGTAGAACAGTTATCTCCATTCCTTCCTTCCAATACCCTCCCACCTTTCCTGGGCCTGGGTCCAGCATGGCTGGCTCAGTGTGGCTCTGTTTCTCCTCTGCCCCCTGGCTCCCCACCCTGCCTCCTGTTGGGCAATATTAACATGTCTTAATGATTGCTCCTGTGCCCCAAAGATGAATGTTCGAAGGATGGACTTTGCTGATTTGTGTGCAAAGATGGTGAAGACAGCATCCTATGCTGCCAAAATCATAAGCTCTGCTGCGTCCCTAACTGTTACTTAACACTAGAGCCCGTAACCATTGATGGAGTCCTTGACTGGACTACTCCTACAATGTCCACATGAAATCCACAGGAAGAAGAAGAAATAAACCGTGGGTAGAGAGGCTGCTGTTTCACCCCCTTTTGTCTCCACACCTCATTAAAGCACACAGAATTGTTTTTTGTCTCCGTCAGTCATAATGGATTGGGGTGGGGCGATGGAAGGATGGCGTTAATAGGCAGTAGACAGAATTCATTAGAACTGGGGCTCAGTGATGGGGTGAGGGCTATGGTGTTGAAGATGTGCCTCACTTGGAAGCCCCTGGATGAGCTATTGAGGCAGGAGTGCACAGAGGGAACTTGGGGAAGGCACAGATTCAAAGGTATCACATCTGTCTAGACAGTTGGCCCACCCTGGGGGTGAATGGGCGAGGGGGTGGGCGGGGACTAAGTGGAGCTCGGCTCCTTGGATTTTGGGGGCATTGCCGCGTACCGCTCTTTTATGGATTTGTTTGCTCACTTATTCACCCCGAACTGCATCTTACCATTAGTAGACCCTGTCTATAAACCTATCAGGTCTTCAGCTTCTTCTCTTGGAAAACTCAAAGAACAGTGTTGTGTATCTCAGGGTTACCGTAAGAATAAATGGGACAGCACAGAACATGGTGGCCAGGACACAGCAAGCTCTCAATAAACACCACTTGCGGCTATCACTTGTTGATTTCTGCAGGCATTTGAAGGTGCTGTCCGTCTTCCCACTGTGTTAGCTCTGGCAGGGGCTGCGGAGGGACAGCAGTCTGCCTCATTTGAAAAGCTAAATTTGACATGGGAGGAGACTAAATCATGGGGAATTTAAGGTTTCTTATGGCAAATCACTAGGACTAGATCCTAGCCTTGGGGCATCATTTATGCACATTGTGGTTCACCTCTGAATTATGCTATTCACAATGAGGTCAGGGACTTGGGGTGCTCCATGAGGCATGATGCATCAAGACAGAAAGGAGCTCACACTGATGCGGGAAGAGAATCGTGCTGGAAAAAGAGAAGCCCCTTCTCATCCTGGTCCTATTCTGGCTTTCCTCTAAATTCCTCCCCATGGGGTGAGGAGTCACTGCAGGAAGAGGGATATACCTGCCCAGTGCCAGTAATGCCCTCCCTGCTTTTTGGTGTGTGCTTTGAGTGGTGGGGCCTGGCATTGCCTTCCAAAGCAGCTTGTGCCTGTTCCCAGGGACTACATGTGAGCCTCTTCCCAAGGTCCACCCTTGGGGCCTTCTGGGCTTGCTTCCCTAGGCAGGAGTGTCAAGTATGCTCTGTTTTCAGGGGTCATGGCACAGCGTGGTCCACAGCGGCACACGTGTGACTCCTCACAGCATGGGCAGAGCAGAGACTATGAGGGAAGAGTGCCGGGCTCAGGGCAGGCAGTCTGTCCTCATGCTGCCGTGTTTCTACGTGAACCTTGAGGGGCCCATGAAATTTGTAATTCTTATAGTCTAAGAAATTTATAATTCAGCTGATCATCACAAAAAGCTAGCTCAAAAAAGAAGATAGAACATATTTAACTTATCTTTTGCTGGCTTGATTTATTGCTTTTAAGTATTCAGACATGTCTGAGCCTTCATTTGTATTCTTCCCCAAGATTTTGATCTGATCTTTATAGGCTAATTCCCTTTCTCCAAACAGATCAGATTGGTTTCATAAACTGTCATTCTGTGAGTGTGCGTGCGTGTGTGTGTGGTCGTGCGTGTGCGTGCGCTCACCTATGTATGCTCCTATGGAGGCTAGAAGTTGATGCCAGGCTTCTATCCCTCTCTGCAGTACTTTTTTATTTTATTTATTTTATTTTATTATTTCATTTTATTGTGAGACAGGGTCTCTCTGTAGTCCTAGCTGGACTGGAACTCACTATGTAGACCAAGCTGGCCTTAAATCCACAGGGATCCACCTGTCTCTACCCCTGAGTGCTGGGATTAAGGGTGTACATCACCACACTTGGCTTGTTTCAGGTTTTAAACTAAGACCATTTATCTATTTTGAAAGGATTTTTGTGTAGGCTAAGAGCTATAGATCTAATTTTATTCTTCTGAAGATGGATACTTAGTTTTTCCAGCACTATTTGTTGAATAAACATTTTTTTCTCTCCTGGTATATATTTTTGACCTCTTTGTACATCATCAGATGTCCATAGCTGTGTGGGTGTGTTTCTGGTTCCTCTATTCTGTTCCATTGGTCTATCTGTCTGCTGCATTGTCTTTGTCACTGTAATGTCCAGAGCTCTAAACTGTACTTAGCAGAAGAAACAGAAGGCATTTCCTGTGTTTTTCCTGACTGTCCTGCTGTCAACCTTTAGGTTTTTACTATGCTTCGGACTCCTCTGATCTATGTCATTGGTAAGCAGATATTATTTTCTTTATTGTCTTGGCTAGGAAGACATTCTCTCCTTCAGTGCATGGGTGACAGAGGAGTCTGCAGATCTTCCTGCAAAAAGGGTGAGCAGCCGTACTTCTACTGCAGAACTTCTCAGCCATGCTGCCTCCAGTCCTACGTGAGGATAAGCCTTACCAGCACAGAAGAAGACACCAACTGGTCTTATGAGAATCAATGGCCCAAAATACCTTGAACGCTGGTGATCACCACCCACCGGCTTCCTGGGAACCCACACCTGCTGTCCACCCTCCTCATTAAAATCTGTGCATCTGCTGTGCTTGTTTGCTTGTGCTTTATCTACTGTAGATACAGTGAGACTGGGTTTCTACATGGTCAGATATCTGTCCTGTTCCAGATGCAACCCTGTGAGAGAAGAGTCAGAGCACCCAACTGAGTTTAGAGAGGGATATGACCAGTCATTCAAGATGGGAGGGGAATGCAGTAGAGACCAGTCAGGGAAGGTTGAAGGATTTAGGCTGAGTCATGACATTCTATGACATGTAAGACTCACAGGGGGACCAGGCCAGGTAGGATGGGATGGGTGTGTAGGGCAGGAGGCAGAAGTCTGGAAGACATGTTTGGCCAAGCATGGAAAAGCTTCCAGATAGCATAGCTGTGATGTGAAATAAGCTGTCTTGTCAAGGTTTCAAGTTGTGAGATTGGGATCTACTCAGTGATAGCCAGAAACTATTATTGTTGTGCGTGTACATGATGTACGCACACCATTATGTGCATATGGCAGTCAGAGGACAAATTTATGGAGTTGGTTCTCTCCTTCCACCTTTACATGGGTGTCCGGGATAGAACTTGGGTCACTAGGCTTGCAGGGCAAGTGTCTTTACCTCCAGAGCCACCTCGCCAGTCCCAGCACTTACTTTTTATATCTTCCCACTAATATCTTATTTCTCCCTCTTTAATTCTAATAACTGTCAACAGGAGAGCAGCTACCCATGACTGTATCCTTGTCTGACTGTTCCCAACTCATCACAGTCTGCTCTTATGTTGCTTGTTCTACAGAGCTGACTCTGTCCAAGTCACTGTTAGTCCACTACTTTGAAAGTTCTAGGATTTTGCCTCTGGACAGAAAATCTACCATTACAGTGTGTTATACCATTGGAATGCATCCTCCTGGCTTTAGCTGTTTTTTCCTCCACTGTCTAGGGGTGTCCCCTTCTGTCATCTGGTCCGTTGCTATCCTCCGGGGTTACTCATCTTTATTGAGAATTTAAACCTCTCCACATTCCTAGAAAAAGGCTTATGATAGTTCTACAACCATGCTAATAAGTAAATACCTTGCAATGTTTTCAGGCTTTCTCACTGATCGATAACATGTTTCTTGAGTGAACATATCTCTGAAAATAAGTTGCCCATGGCAGCATTATGCTTTGGAATGACTTTCCAACAGGCTCTGAGTTCACCTCAGCACACACACTGTCAAGGACTCATTCCCACTTTTGGAATCAACACAATCTCCCCAAGGCTACAGAAGCTCGGCACTTCACTTATTGACTCTGTGTCTGCTCAGTATCGCTCACCTGTGTGTAAAGGAATTACCATTTGAGGGTTTGGGTCATAACACGGAATGATGGCTTCATCCTCTGACCATAATCTGCTTTTCCCTTTCCTTCAGTCCCCTCATACAACAATGGTTATGATCCAGAGAAAAGTGCTGGTTCCAGTAGATTTCAGTTTCAGGAAGAATATTGAACTCAACTGACCTTAGCGGTGAAAATACTTTTTAAAAAACTTTAGTTAAAATATACAACAAAATTTCTTAAGCACCCTAGACCTTAAAAGCAAGGCTTTTAGGAAGGCTTTTTTTTTTTTTTTTTTTAAGAATTAAGGCTAAATGGGAAGAAAGTCTCTACTGAAGGCAGAAGCTGGCCTTTGTCTCAGAGGCATTGTGCTGACCCAGATGAACTTGATCTTTGGATGTCATGGTTTTGGTAAAGTTAAGTAAGGGTAGGCAGAAGAGAGGAGATCATGCCAACGGTATCAAAAAAAAAAAAATGTGAGTTTATCTGGGTATTTACCGAAAGGACAACATGAGTTGACATGTCACAGAGATACTTAATTTCAGTTTGTTGCAGCACTGTTTACAATAACTAAGCTGTGGCGCCAACAATCTATGTGTTCACAACTGAGAAATGTGTGTGTGTAATGGAATTTTTTCAGCCATAAAGAACAAAGTTGCCAGGCATAGTGGTACACGCCTTTAATCCCAGCACTCAAGAGGGAGATGCATGCAGATCTTTATGAGTTCCAGGCTATGGGGAGACCGCGTCTCAAAAACAAACAAAAAGAGCCCAGTTTCATCATTTATAGGAAAGCAGATGCAACTGTAAATAATGATATTAAGTGAATTAAGCCAGTTAATCTTATATGGATTCTTGACTCCATGCATGTGTACATACAACATAAAAGCGGAAATAGAAATGTTTAGGGGAATAAAGGGAAGTAAAGGGAGGGAAAGAAGAAGAAAGAGAAGCCAGAGGACCATGGGGGAAAGGCTCAGCCTGCAATTTGTACTTGTGTGAACATGTCCTCATGTAACACAGTACTATGTACAATGACCATACATGAGGAAAAAATTAAAATGTGAGTCTAGTGAGAGATCCTCCATACATGTTAGCCCCAAATGAGTTACCTCTGCTGAGTGTAGGGGTAAACTAGAGGCGTGTTCCTTGCTCCATACTGGAGGTCCTCAAGGAAAATCACCTGGTTTGGAACATGGTACTCAACATATAATAATTTCCACTGAGAACTTACAACCTCAAACTGACCCTCATAGGAATCTGGGTGGTCTGAAAAAAAGCCAACCTGGTGTGTATCTTGAATCTGACCCAAGGCTTCCAGTACTAAAGATTTCTGGCAGAAACAAATGAAAAGTCAAAATTTGATCAATTTATTCAGGTAAAGTTCCAAGAAGAAAGAACAGATTGGAGCTTCTACTTGTAAACTACAACAAGGAAAGAGGGAAGCCAGCAGAGGCCGGAGTCCCAGACGAGGACTTCCAGGCATCAGAACTTTCAGTAGTAACAAGCATCTTCAAGAAATTAATTTATGATACCTATGTTTCCCACCATGACTTTTGTCTTCTCTACCCCTGGAACAACAAAATCAGGACTGTGAAGAAACATTCCAGTGTTAGGTGGTGTGATGGTTGGCTTTCATTATCAGCTTGACACAACCTAGCGTCTCCTGGGAAGAGGGAACCTCAGTTGAGGAATTTTCTCCATCAGACTGACCTGTGGGCATGTCTGTGGGGTATTTTCTTGACTGATAATTGATGTATCTGGGGATTAGCCCACTGCGGGCAGTGCCATCTCTGGGCAGATGGTTCTGGGTTGTAAGTAAAAAGTAGCTGAGCAAGTCGGAGGAAACAAGCCAGGAAGCAGCCTTCTTCTGTGGTCTCTCTATTCCCGCCTCCAGGTTCCTGCTGAGCCCCTGCTCTGGCCTCCCTTGGTGATGGACTACAGAATGGGGGGAGGATGGAGTTAATGGAGGCACTCTGACTAGGGAGGGAGGGAGGAGGGAAGCCGGATGGGAGAAAAAAGAGTGGAGATGAGTGAATCTTAGGGGCAGGAAACCTAGAGGAGAAAGTGATGCCCTAGAGACCCTACGAGAAATGCACATGGAGTGTCTGAACATTAATGCATATGTGTACCTGGGAGCTGTTTGACAGGCTGTGCAGTGCCAGACAGAAGAGACCTCCCTTAGAATGATAAGCATGCCATATAGCACTCATCAAAGAAGCTTGTTTTTGCATCAGATGGAAGCTACTGCAGAGTTGCACATCTGGTCAGGCACAGACAGCATATGTCTGGGAGATGCCCAGTGCTAGGTGACACATCTGCAGTCAAATCACTACAACTAAGGCCCATGTAACATAGTGGAATAAGGGGTAGAGAGAGGGCTAACGCACCCCACAACCCTCACCAGTGAGGCTCCCTTGTACATCAGAGTGTGATGCACACAGAAGACCACATTTGGTCAAGTTTTGGAGACTAAGAGATCGCAGAGTAGGATGGGACTTCTATACGGAACTTCACCCACCCACGGGTCAGGGACCATTGCAGAAGAGGAGGTGGAAAGATTGTAAGAGCCAGGGCTGGTTCATGAACACAGGAAGGTGGAGGCCTCTAGGTCACTAGAGGCTTGCTCATGTGAGCCTGTGGCAGCAGTGGCACTGAGCTTGGGACCAATGTCAGCTCAATTAAACAAGGGCCCAAAGGGAGGTGAGAAATAGGTGTCAGGCCAGTACTAGATTGAGAATTATTTGAGACTGATTGCTGCTGGGTAAGGGAGAGTATGACTTATGTATGACCACTGGATGGGCTGACTAGACTCCAGTGGATGAATTTATACAGAAGGACACTTGGGTATAAACACCTGAATGAATAAGACTCAGCATGTATGGCAGAGTGCATAAAGTTCAGTGCGGGGAGAGGGGGAGGCATGGATGGTCGAGAGGGGTCTGGATTTGAGTGGGAAATGTATGAAATTTAAAAAGCTCAATAAAAAAAAGATGAAATAAACTCTTTCCTCCCCAAGTTGGTTTTGGTCATGGTATTTGTCACAAAGAAAGGAAGCTAGAACAGCATGTCTGGCTGGGAGGTGGGGGGTGGATTTCCTTAACTAAGTGAACTGAGGACGGAAGACCCACCCTGAATGTAGGTAGCACCATTTCATGGTCTGGGCTCTGAACCCTGTAAGAGTGAGCATAAGCAAGTGAGCCAGCAAGCAAGTGAGAGAGCACACGTGCATCCATTTCTCTCTGCTCTCGACTCTGGAAGTGATTTGACAGGGTGTTCGAAGTTCCAGCTGCCTTGACCTCTCTGCTCTCATGGACTGGAGCCTGGAACTGTTGAGCCTCTTCCTCCCATACGTTACTTGAGGTCAGGGTATTTCATCCTAGCAATAGAAATCAAACCAGAGCAGGGTGGAAATGCTACGTTCAGGCCTGGGAGGGCGGGGGCAATGGTTACTGCCTGTGTATACACTCCTGTTGTCTCTTCATCATACACTAATAGCACCATGAGAGGTTTCTATGGCTACCTAACAAGGAGGGGGGGTTGTAGAGTGGCCTGTGTGATATGCTCAGACCAACCACAAGTGCTGCATTAGATTCTGATACAGACAACCTGAAAGACAATGATTGAGGGACACCCTTCTAGGAGAAGGGAGGATCTAAGCTATAGATCTGCAATAATTCATAGGTAGTGGAAATGAAGTTGGGTGGATGTTCAGGGACTTGGAAAGAGCAAAGTTAGAAGTTTCTAGTAGAGAGATGTGTAGTAGTGATGTGGATAAACCTCTCTGGAGGGGCGCAGGGTGTGGAGATATTTTTACACTATCAGGAGACAAAGTTCTCAGTAACCAAATGACAGTGACCCATCCTCCCTGCTATGGTTGGGAGACTGCACATACCCTTGGATGTTCCTGTGTGATCAAGGAAATGGGCCTATGAAGCCAGTTGTTCAACTGCTTCTACTTCAGCTCTTAAGTGACTAGAAAGGAGTCCTCAGAGCTCACACCTGAGCCAGCTAGCTTCCTACAGTGAGAGCTAAAACAGAGCTCCAGGGCCAAGCTCAGTAGGTGATTAGAGGTATATCTGTTGTTAAAGCAAGCCTTTTGATATCCCAATAGGTAGTGTTATAAATGTAAAAAATTAGAATTCTGATTTTATTCACTTAGGCTGAAGGGAAAGCTAACATGAGGGATTGCTGTGATATCCCCCAAACTCTTATCAGAAAGACAGAAAGACAGGAAGAACCCCAGTGTTGGAATCCTTACCTATGCGATTCAGCCTGTAATACATCAGTAGCTGTCCTAGTTTGTCTCTTCATTGCTGTGACAAAACACTCTGACCACTACCAACTTGGGAAGGAAAGGAAAGGGTTTATTTATCTTACATCTCCCGGGTTACAGTTCATCAGAGAGCCCAAGGCAGGAACTCAAGGCAGGAATCTGGAGACAGGAGCTGGAGCACAGGCCATGGATGATCACTGCTTACTGGCTTGCTCCCCTGGCCCCCGTTCAGTCTGCTTTCTTATGCACCACAGGCCTCCCTGCCCAGGGGTGGCACCACCCACAGTGGCCTGGGCCCTCCCACATCACTCAACAATCAAGAAGGTGCCCTATGGACATAGACAATTGAGGCTCCCTCGACCCAGGTGTGTCAAGTTGACACTAAAGCTGACCAGCACAGCAGCCAACATGGAACACTGAAAACAGCTTAAATCTTGTGGCAATCACTCCACATTTCAAGAGCATCAGAGATTTTATCATTGGAAACATTAGACTTCTTTATACAGCCATTTTTATCTAGAATTACACAATTGTTGTGGGGATGAGGGTGGATCACAGGTATTTTCAGTGCCTTATCTTTGTGACATAGTTCATCAATCTCAGGACATGGGTGGCATTTGAGAAGTCATGTGCTTTGATAAACCTCAGGGACAGAGGTCTCCAGCTCCCTGTTAGGTTCTTTCTTCACAAAATCATCTCTTATTTGCGAGTAGTCTACAGTCAGATTTGTTTGAAGCATATCCATAAAGTCTGAGGACAGATCATACACAATTGTGGGAACTGACTTAGTGACCTGATTGTTGGAGGCCTCTTGACTGTAACCTTTGGTGTCTGGAACACAGCAGATGCGATGATTTTTACAGGCTTCCTGGATCACTTTGCCATCTTTGCAGTTTTTCCTGCAGTGCCCCGATCTGTTCAAGCATTTTTTCTCACCGCTATAAGCTAAATAATCAAAGGAAAGACCACTGGTTTTAGGTGCTTTCCATATGACCCACAAATAACTCTGAAGATCATAATAAGATTACAGCCAAGGCCTGATAATGCCATGTTCTCAATGTACCTGCTCCTGGTGTCCTAGCTACCTACGTTCAGCTTTTCTGAAAGTGTGATAGATCGTATCATCAAAGAAAGGAAACTTGCTAGTCAAAAGGAGTTGAGGGCAGTCACAATGATGCTCCTTGGGTCTGTGTCAAGCCATTCACATCAAGAAATTCACCTGGGGCTGGTGAGATGGTTCAGTGAGTCAGCACAACTTGCTGCCAAGCCTGAGGGATATGAATTCAATCCCTGGGCCCTATGTGGTGGAAGGAGAGACTGATTCTCCCCAGTTTTCCTCTATGCTGTGTCACACATGTGCTCTCTCCTCCCTTAATAAATAATATAAAAGTTATATTAAAAAATTCACCTGGTTACTGTGATTGAGTTATTTGCATTGGCTGAATGCTTGAACACATTCTACCGCAAAATATATTCATTCGTGTGCACATAGAAAATACATTTGTTGTTGTTTAAAGACTAACTAAAATGAATAGGCTGGGTAGTACACACCTTTAATTCTAGTACTAGAAAGGCAGAGGCAGGTGGATCTCTGAGAGATTGAGGTCAGGCTGGTCTCCATAGTCACTTCCACTGGAAGCTTAGACTGGTACAGGTATTCCTGTGAGAGGATTCACTCATCAGGGTATAAGCTCTGATGTACACAAAACACCTATGTAGGTATTGCTGAAAGACCAACCCTGTCCAGGTGGGATAGCACGTGCCTGCTTTTCTAACAAATTTCTGGGGTATGTCAATATTTCTAGTCCATAGACTACACTTTCCATATCAAGGTATTGGGTTATTAAAAAAAATATCCCAGTAAGCCCCATGGGCTCAACATCAATAAAAGCAATAAAATGCAATACAATTAGGATCAAATACGTTTTTATATTTGGAAGTTAAATGATACGATAATGAATAAAACTTCAGTGAGGAGAGGAGAATGCCAAATAGTCACAAGTACTGAAGTCAGAGGGTTCTGGAAAAACTGGTCAGAGGGAAAGGGATAATGAAAATAATGAAAATGGGGGCATAGAAGGGGCTGGAGAGATGGCTCAGTGGTTAAGAGCACTGACTGCTCTTGCAGAGGACCTGGGTTTGATTCCCAGCACCCACACAGTGGCTACGAACCGTCCTTAACTCCAGTTCCAGGGGAATACGAAGCCGTCTTCTGACTTCCATGGCATGGCACGACACGGGTGCACTCACATGCAAGCAATACATTCATACACATAAAATAAAAATAATAAAGTATTTTTAAATGGGGGACTAGAAATAGGACATGCTAAAAATGACAGATGTGATCACTCACAAGTGCATACTACCAAGATGGAAAAGCTAGATGGAATAGGTAAAGTCTTTAAAAAAAATTCTAGGGAAGGTGTATGAGGGAAAAAGTAGCATTAATTAATTAGCAAGTGTCAGGAAGTTGAAATATTAGTGAAAGACTAGTCTTCAGTCTGGAGTGATTTTGTTTTTCAAATTTTGGTAAGAAGACACATAAGATAAAAGTTATCATCTTAACTAGTTGTGGCATTAGGTACATTCACACCATGTTACCATCACTGCTGTTTGTTCTCAGAACTCTTCCAGAACTTTAGTTCTGCACCATCTTACAGTAAACTTCCATTTCTCTCACCCTAGACCCCAGTCTCCACATGCCTGACTGTATCACCTGAGTGGAAAATTGTCCATTATTTTTCCTTTTGTCACTGGCTTATTTCACCAAGTATAATGTCTTCAAGAGTCATTTATAGTAATATGTGTCGGAATTTCCTTTCCCTCTCAGCTTGAATGATTCTGTGCTTCATGTGCACTAATTTCATTTATCCATCAGCCACTGATGGCATCTGGGTTGTTTTCACCTTTTGGCTATTGTGAATAATGCTGTTATATAGGTGAACTCAAGGGTGAGTTCTACTATGTCACGGGAGACTTAAGTATTACTTTGTACTGAAGTATAAAATGTTCCAGAAAATAGAAAACAAAAGAAGTTACTTGGCTCATTTTATGAGGCTTGTATCATTTTTTATCTAAAACCAGAAAGTTGTAGATATATTTTCTTTACAAATATAGATTTTAAAAATGCAAAAAAATTAGTCAACTGAATTCAACAATATGTTAATACATCATCATCAAGGAGGATTCAACCTGAAATGCAAAATAGCAACCAACATTAGAAAATCTACCACTGAAATTTACCAATTCTTGTAGAATTAAGGAGGTAAGAAATATAATTATCTAAATACAGAAAAGTGATTTAATAAAATTTACTGCTTGTTTATAATGAAACTCTAGGCAAAGAAAAGATAGATTTTCCTTAATTTAATGAAAGGTTGTATATCAAATTCCAGAGCTAACATTATCTGATGGAGAAAATTTAATTCCTACTGTGACTAGGAAAACAAAAATACTATCTATTATCCATGATTACCTAAATAAAACTAGTGGACTGTGTCAATGTTAAGAGGGAAACAAAATAAAAATGTAAGGATTGGAAGTCGTGATAAAATTGCCATTCATTATAGCAGCTATGGTTATAACATAAAATAGAATCAAATAAACTATTATAATTAGTAACAGTTAGGTCAGGTGTGATATGAATTTACAAGAACCAGTAGTACTTCCTACATGCACTAAGTAGAGAATGTAATTAAATATAGCACAAGTTACGAAAGAGCTTCTAAATTAAGACTCCATAAGACTTCTGAGGGGCATATATGAAAACTCTAACAGAAGATGTGACCTTGGGCAGGGTGACTTTATTATTATGAGGATTTATTTCCCCTCAATGTAATCCATAGTTTTAGTATAATTCTATTCAAAATCCTGGTGGGAATTTTGAGAGACAACAATTTTACCTTAAATTTATAATAAAAAATGACCACTGATAATTGAGATTACCTTTTTTAAAAAGTAAAAACAGTTTGCCCTTCCTTGACAGCAACTCACAATAAGCCATGATATTATGACAAATATGGTATTGTCAAAGGAATAAATAGCCCAAGAGGACAGAATGGATGGAGCGTTGAGATACACACAGTAACAATGGCATCATGAATCAAGGGAGAAGCATAAACTAGTTAGCAAGCTGTGCTTAGAAAACCAGCTCACTTTTCAAAATAATAAAGTGGATCCGTTCATCACATCTGGAGCCTTAAAGGTCTACACATAAGGAAGAGAGACAATGTTTTAAAGGGTTGGGACTCTTGGTGGACCCAGTGAATGGATCCACACTGAAGGACATTGGGGGGGGCACAAATCATACTCCATAGGCCAGAAGATTATTTCAGAGAGTCCCTTTGGGTGTAAAAATTAGGCAAGAACTTCTTTAGTGAAACGACCAGGCACAATGCACAAGAAAAACAGAAAACAACAACAACAACAACAAAAAAACATGACTGAAGTTTTAAGACCAGAATTAGATGCTCCTCTCTCATGGAGGGCTTATCATGGGCAAAGTCTATAGACAAAGAGACGACAGGCTGAGGGCAGCAAAGTTGGCCTGGGTGCATTACCACAAATAGATTAAAAAAAAAACACATTACAGAATCCAGCTTTCTAGGAGAACACGAAAGGGTAGAAAATGTCGGCTAACAGAAGCAGTCACTTGTTGACTTTTTACGTCTACTGAAACATTCAACAATTATTTGCTGAGTGTACCAGGCATTGCCCAAGATGCAAGAGGTTGTGTTTGTTAAACAAGTAGCCCAAACTTCCTGTTCTCATGGATAGTTTAGATTTTCAAGAGGCCTTAAATAAGACAGTAAGAGAAGAAAGTTATAAATGACTTATGTTTAGTAATGACAGTGATAAGCATCTTGGGGAGAAGTAAAGTGGATGTGCTGGCAGAGGTATGTGATCAGCAGGAAAGTGGAGAAGACTTTGCTGAGAAGAAGTGAGAGGTGAGCGTGATGGGCTGATTTTTGTTTTTCTTCCTTAAACATGAGGGCCATCCAGGACAAAGCTTTCATGCCCCTTTCATCGCCCCAACTCTGCACCCCAGGGTATGTAATGCTCCCTTTTTGGAGCCACACGCGCTCTGCGTTTCTAGGCTCCATGGACGGCTTTTACAAAAGTCTTTCCCATTTCTCTTTCCTAGTCTTGCTATCCCCATCAGAACTCAGGGCAGCACAACTGGTCCTGTATGAATCCCAAAGAGCTGTGCCTGGTTCTGCCTTTCATTGCAACAAAAAACTCTGAAGCCTGGCAGAAACTGCTGGTGATGTCCTGAAAGACAGATAAGGGAAGAACTAATGAGAGAAAAATTTAAACTTACCTTTAACCTCATTGTTTCTCTTCTTGGAGTCTCTACTAGATAAATCCTTGATTAAATAGGTAAATACATTTGCATATTCATGTTCATTGATGTGTTGTTAAGGAATGCTCTCAACAACTTTATATAAATCTATGGTTTTTTTAAAATCAGAGCAGAATTCTATAAATCTGTAAAGAATGAGGCAGATGTCTAGATGGGGGACATGGGAAGATGGCCACAAAATAGTAAATGAAATCAGAATGCTGTGTGACCATGGTGATAGTATATATAGGTATTATATGAAACAGAACCACCTGGGTCATTTTCACATGAATTTTATCATATACTGAAATGTGTCTGGAATGCCAAAAGCAGGGAGAGAAAACAGGTCCCCAGCAGTGAGCGGAACTCTGGTCATGCCCTTAGATCTATTTTAAAAAGCAGTGGTTACCAAATTTGGGACTTCCATTGTAGAAGGCAGAAGAAAAGCCAGCTCTACCCACCCCACAACAGCTCTGCACACATTTTGTTTGCCAAATTCTAGAATATGAGAAAACCAGAGGGTCTCACTGCAAGTCGCAGCAAGACTTATGGCCAAGAAGCCACAGGCTGTGGATTTTGGGAAGCATTTTTGAGAGCTGCATAAGCTGTAAAGAGGGTTGAGGTAGATGAACCTCTCTCCTGCCTAGTGGAAACCTGGAAGCAAGGTCTCTGGGTGTCTGGACTGCCTAGAGGATTACCTGTCCTGCTCCACCTTCTGCCCCTGCCAGGGATGTGGTCTCAATGAGGAAAGTGTGGAGCTGGTTGGGTTGGAGAGAACAGCCCCAAACTGGACTTCCATAGGTCAGACCCCATTATCCCTTCAACTTTTGTAGCTTCCCGGGGTTCTGATTACCTGGGATCACTTCGGGTAGAAAAGCAAGGACAGGAAGAGCCAGCAGAAGAAGTCTCATGGCTCTTGGGAAGTAGGAGATAGTAGATCCAGGAATCTAGAACATTGGGTCCATCATGAATCTGTTCAAGAGTTTTATTAACCTCTCTGTGGTGGGGGGCAGAGGGATGAGCATTGAACCAGAGAGAGATGTGAAAAAATGTACCTGTTGGGGAACCCTGCTGTTAAGGTCCACTTCTTTCTCAGCAGGGGCTTCCTGCCTGACTTATCTGGAAAGTGCCTCTAAGCACTGATGCCTGGCCTTATTTGGAACATGACCTTTGGCATAGTTACCTGCAATAAAACTGCCCCCAGGTTTTTTCTATATAATAATTAGGCATTGCCCTATAGCCAGATGATAGGATTCCCCTACCACATGTAAATAAAACATACTATGAGCACCTATCAGCTGAAGCTTTGGCTGCTGCCTCCACCCTATATTTTCCCTGACCCCCACTGAATAAATGGAGCTGTATCACTGAATCTGACTCTCCAGAAGGTCTTTTCCGTCATGCTCACTGGCTGTCCTGACCCAGTTTGTCGATTCTGCTCCCTTTGTTCTTGTGGGTTGGTGGCCAATGGCCCATGAGGGGAGGGAGAGACCCACACATACCCATGCAAAACATCAATTGGCTGCCTGGGGTATGGATTGAACAACTGATCCTGGCCCTGGGAGAACACACAGAGACTTGCAAGTTACAGGCTTTGAGGAAGTGTCTGGGAGTTTGGAGAGTGAGAACTCATACTAGTCCTCCCTCCTTGGCTGCCACAAACCTTTTGGCAGGGCCCTGCCTTTGTGCACAGTCCCTCCCACTCTAACCTAAGCCTGCATTCAAGCTCTCCTTCTATCCATATATCTTTATGTTGGACTGAGATTTCTATGAGCAGGGAGAAAACTTTTCTTTGTTGAATGCCCCTCCCCACAAGGCACAAAGCATGTTCTTAGTTCAGTTTTATGGAAATGAAAGGTAATGAACACACGTTCATTATAGAAGCCAAAGTTCTCACCTAAGTTCTTAGAGAGAAAATAACTTGCCTGAGATCATAAAGTTGACTTACAGTAGAGTTTGGGAGGAATTCATGTATAGCATAAATCCACTAGGTTGCTATGGGATGCCACCCCATGGTCATCAAGAATGCTCCCCAGCAAAGGCACTAGGAGAGACTCTTTGGATGTTACTTTTGGGGCCACTGGAGGTTTGAGCATTATTTGTAAAGATCCCATCATTTAGATAAAACTTTGGGATACAGAGTCAGCCTAGTCTCACATTCCCTTGGCCACATTCCACACTGACTCCTGTTTACTGGGTCATAAATGTATCTGCAAAGCTGTAGAGTGGAGGTCATCTTCATGTTGTTCTTGGTTTTGAAGTCAGTACGGAGCTCTCTACCAATGGAAAAGGGGTAAATTGGCCATTCACTGCAGCCAGTGGGCATTATAATTAATCCAACTGTTACCCCATTTGCTTGAGATTGAATTTCCGAAGCAGGAACTTGGGGTCCATGTAGGACTGGGTCTTGCTAGTTGTGGTAGAAACAATGACCACAAAGACCATGGATTGTGATAGTGTTTGAGTTCAATGAACTCAAGTCTTTGACCTCTCAGCAGAAGCTGTAGTCAGATAATCTTCAAAAGATCTTTTATTTCTTGTACCCTGGGGCCACCCTTGTTAAAATCAGACTCCAGATTTAACTGTGGGGTTTATTGACCTTCAACCTCAGCTTAAGTCATAGACTTAAAGTTTTAGCAAAAGAAAACCTAAGAATTGATGAAGACGGACTGAGACCCTGGTCCTTGACAAGTCTGTGGAACAAATGAAACTGAAAATCTGGACTCTTTCTGGGAGTGGTGATTGTGCTTGTAGAGAGGCGATTTCAGCATTAGACAGTTCTTAAGTCCTTTCTATCCCTAAAATCGAGGCATCTTTCCTTAGAAGCTGCAAAGCTGTGGCATAATATACACAGGTCTTGTGCCCCATTCCCATCTGTAACATCTTACTTCTCACCTCTGGTTTACACATACATGTTTTGGAAGACTATCTCTAACACTCTATTTCTTTAGTTCCTTTCAGCTCATCTTACTGAAACTTGGGACCTGAGCTCAGCCACCAGTGCATAGCCAACATCACCTTCAAATGTGATTGTGTTTTACTGGAGCCTCTTTTGCTATTTTGGGGGAAGGGGCTGGACTTCACACTGCTGTTCATTCCCTCTCTCAACCCTGCCATGCCCTCTTGGCTTCTACCACAGCTCCCTCCTGATTTTCTCCCTACCTTTGGGCTGCTGCTTTTCTGTCATCTTCTGGGGGAAATGGCTCTTGGTCATCAGCTGGCTTCTCTTTTCCCTCTATGAAGTTCTCCTGTATTATTCCAGTGCAATTGTTGGATCATATAGTAATTTTATTTATTTATTTATTTATTTATTTATTTATTTATTTATGGACAGAGTCTCCCTATAGCCCAAGCCAGCCTGGAATTCACTATGTAGTCCAGGATGGCCCGGATCTCACAGAGAGCTGCCTGTCTCTGCCTCTAGAGTACTGGGATCAAAGGCGTGTGCCACCGTGCCTGGCCTAGGTGTTTTGAGAAACTTCTATACAGTGTTCTGTAATGGCCGCCATGACAGCGCTTTGCCTTTTCCTCTAATCCTCCTGCATTTGCATCTTTTTTATTTTTGAGGGTAAGGCATTTTAGCAGGTGCCAGGTTTGAATTTGCATTTCTCTGATGACTGGTGATCTGAGCATTTTCCATGCCTCTCCTCTGTATTCGAATGACAAACACTCCAGATCTCACCTGGGTTCCACTCAAAGGGCTATCGGCCTCACCTTGAACATGGCTGGTTGCACTGGGGAAGAATGGGACCACTGCACATGTTGCCTTCACATGGTCCTCTGAAGCGGTAGGGCAAGGTGCAGAGTGTCTGAGGCGGGAGTGCAGGCAGGAGCAAGCTGAGTTGTTGGGACATGGAGGGGTTTCCAAGAGGGGAAATCGCATAAAGTATTAAATTATCTTGTTTCAAGATGTAAATCCTCTCCAATTCCACAGATCTTCCCTAGTGTTAATTTGGGACAAATCACATAGAAAGGAAGTGGATACTGTGGGGTGTGTGTGTGTGTGTGTGTGTGTGTGTGTGTGTGTGCGCTACATATAAACATGATAGAAGTTTGTAGTCAAGATGATTCATGGTACAAAACCAGGCAGGTTAAGAGACTGGACTTTGGATGAGTTATAAAGGTCTGTCACCAATGCCTGTCCTGTCTGTCTTCCCAGCTGGGCTCCTGACAAGACTTCCTGCACCTCATTTCTCTGTTGCTGTTGCTAACTTTGTCAGCAATTTACACCCAGAACATACGCAGTCAAATAGGTTAGGCCCAATGTTGGTTTTCTGCTTCCAGTGCCAGCGTCTCCACTTAGGACCCAGGTCCATCTGGAGGCTGCTGGCTGGGCTGAAGATCGCACTATGAATCTAAGGTCCGTGGACCTTTGGAGTCGCTTGCCACAGTTTCCCTGATGATCACCAGCACTCTGTGGATCCCTCTTCTCAGGCTTTCTGAGTCCTGCAGAGTGCTTCATTGGAGCTGACCCATTCCAGTGCCACCAATCACTATGGAGCTGCCTGCAGAATGTCAGGAGCATTCCCTCCCTCATTCCTCTGCAGACATGAGGGCATTTTGCCTTTACTTTCAGCTACTGATATAGACACAGCATCTCACTGACACACAGCCACTTGGAATTCCCACCTGGCCCTCTCCTGTGGCTGTCTGCATCTATGGCCAGCTGCTCCCCACTCCGGGTCAGATTTCTGGGAGCTCAGTGGCTCCGACATCACTCGAAAAATGAAACGATAAAGTGTGTCTGTTAGTGATAATGTTCAGGGCTCATTTATCCTTGACTGTGCTGGCCCTGTGTTGGGATAGTTCCACAAGCTGACTGCTCCTGAGTGATCCTCTGCTCACTCTCAGCAACCCTCCTCCTTGATCCTTCCCCATCTTAGGACACCGTTCTCTGCTATCTACATCTAGTTCAAGTTCCTCAGGATCAGTGGAAGGAGGACGGATACTGTGAGATTTGTTTTCCAAGGTGAAAATACAGCCACCCACCCTCAAAATGTGTATATTTATAATTCATTAATTTAAAAAAGCCTTTATTTGAGCCAGCATGATAGTTCAGCAAATAAAGGCACTTGCAGCCATGTCTGAAGATGACAGTTCTTTCCCTGAACCCATATGATAGAAAGACAGAAGTAACTTCTGTAAGTTGTCCTTTGACCTCCATGTACAATACGCCAACATAAATAAATGGATAAACTAATAAAAGTTTTTATTTTTTATTATTTTCATTTTATGTATATGAGTGTATTCCCCACATGTGTGTAAGTGCACCTGTGCCATGCAATGCCCATGGAGTTCAGAAGAGGGCATCAGATACCCTGGAACTGGAGTTACAGATGGTTGTTAGCTACCATGTGGGTGCTGGGAATCAAACCCAGGTCCTTTGCAAAAGCAGTCAGTTCTGTTAACTGCTGAGTCATCTTTCCAGTATGGAATACACTTTTTCTATTAAAGAAAAGGACATTATGAAAGGCCTAAGTGCATTGTAGCCACTCCACCTATTCGTTTTCTCCACTGTCTCCGTGGACCTTATTGTCTGCCTCGACTGTGTTTCTTCTTAGGTGCTGCCTCCTTTGGGCTGCCATGCAGCAGCAGCAGCAGCAGCAGCAGCACAGCAGCAGCACAGACTCCTTAAACACTTTGTAATGCTACCCTTCAGGACCTTCCAGATCCTCCTTCTTAGAGGGGCTCTAGGCATGGCCTGATGTGTGTGGCTGAGGTGCTCCTGAAGTGAGCTTTGTCGGGGCGATGAGCTGCTGTCTCTGTCAGGTGTGATGATGTTCTCACACAGGGCTTCCTCCCTGGAGAAGAGAAGGGACTTCTGTGAGGATGTGACAGCGGTGGACCCACATGCTCCTGCAGTGTTTCTGTGGGTGATAAGTAGCAGTCTTTGTCTCCTGTGCTGGTGTTCTCACACTGGACTTCC